TTACAAAATCGTACACTTTCTGATATGCGGGGTAAGATATGGTGAAAAAAGCATAATCTTCATTCACCTTTCTCGACGTTTTACACATTTCCTTGGGTCCATTAAAAGTGTTTATAACATTGTATTCAGCGCTCGTGAAACCCGTGATATTTTATCACTACATGTAGTCTAAATGATGAACATGTGTATGCAATTGACCTATAACCATGAAAACTACGCGATATCGAGGAAATCAGACAGCTAAACAAAATTATTGTTACCAACATAGAGTATAATAATAAATATGAAGATGTTATAATTATAATTGATGATAACTTGACGGTCTGATCTATTCCTCAGTAAACAATCGCATTATTACATGCATTTATTTAATTTTTTTCCAAGATGAAATGTCAAGTTTGTTCACGGTAAATATGTGGGGAATACATTATTCTTCCAAACTTGTCCTCTTACTTCTAAAGATTTTTTGTCAAAAAATCTTTTTTGAAGAAAAAACAACAGCACGTGTTCTCTTTTTGTTCCTTTGAAATATGTTTTGGGGTGTAAAAATACTGCTGTCTGATTGGATAGAAAAAAATTTACGTGTATATGATGTATATTTATGGCAACTTTCAGTTATCATTCTTGACTTCCATATTTGAAAAATCGTCCAGACCTGTTCATAGTTTTTTAGTTTAAGGTCTTTAAAAATTTTTTTTATGATATGTATATCAAAAAGACGCATATATTTTTGTGTTAAATAGTTAAAAGAATAAGTCAATGAAATTTGACAGTGAGACTAACCTGGCTTTTTTGAAAATCAAAGTTTAAGTAGTTCATTGATTAACCAGAAGTCTCTGATGAGACTGTAGCTCTACTAGTCTGTACGTATACCAAAGGAAAAGCAACAGGCAGCAATAAATAGAATTATGTATCTTAGTGTAGTCTACTTGTGTGCCAAGTTAAATTGAAATCATACCAAAACTGAAGGAGGAGTAGAATTTTGAAAAATTGTTTACAAACAGACAGCAAGACAGCTGGACAGAAGGATGGATGATGGTCGCATTACTATCGCATAAGCTCTTCTGGTCTCTGACCAGTAGAGCTACAAATTTTCTCTCCTCATAAACAACTAAAGGGGGGTAACTTTGAGAATTTCCTGTCCAAAAACCACTCTTATGATTTTGTCCAAAATGTGCATACACACAGGAGATATAGTCATGAATTAAATATACCAAAACCAGAAGTCTCTGTCGAGACTGTAGCTCTACTGGTTTGTACTTATAACAAAGGATGAGAAGAGAAGCCATTGCCATCAGACCAGAACTGTAGGATGACTAGCGTTTTAAAGGAATTTCAAAGAAAATTCAATTTTGAGTAACCATGGCAACATCGTTCATCGAAATTAAAATCCAATGCACTATTTTATGTATCTTAGTGTAGTCTACTTGTGTGCCAAGTAATATTGAAATCAAATCAAAACTGTAGGAGGAGTAGCGTTTTAAAGAAATTTCAAAGAAAATTCTATTTTTAGTAACCATGGCAACACCGTTCATCAAAATAAAAAACAAATTCACTATTTTATGTATCCTAGTGTAGTCTACTTGTGTATTATGTAATATTGAAATCAGACCAAAACTGTAGAAGGAGTAGCATTTTAAAGGAATTTCAAAGAAAATTCTATTTTTAGTAACCATGGCAACACCGTTCATCGAAATCAAAAACCGATGCACTATTTTATGTATCTTAGTGTAGTCTACTTGTGTGCCAAGTTATATTGAAATCAGACCAAAACTGTAGGAGGAGTAGCGTTTTAAAGGAATTTCAAAGAAAATTCTATTTTTAGTAACCATGGCAACACCGTTCATCGAAATCAAAAACCGATGCACTATTTTATGTATCTTAGTGAAGTCTACTTGTGTGCCAAGTTATATTGAAATCAGACCAAAACTGTAGGAGGTGTAGCGTTTTGAAAAATTGTTTACAGACAGACGGACAGACAGACAGACGGACGGACGACGGACACCTTACTATCGCATAAGCTCTTCTGGTCTTTGACCAGTAGAGCTAAAAAAAGCGAAAATTAAATGACAGGAATTTTTGGCAGTGGGTGTGTTGTACATCCTTAAGTCAATGGTATCTTGAAATTATTGTAAAAAGTTAATGATACAAATTTTGTGGACAATTCTTTGTTTTCAAGTTCACTGATATGTCCTTTAGAGAATTATGATGTTCATTTTGCTTTTTGAAACAAGCATTTTTTTATCATGTTTTGAATTGGTCCATTTTACATAGAATGACTGATATACAGGGTGTCTGAAAAGAAAGGTAACATTTAAGAACCCTCTCTACACTGCACACTAAAGAGTTCTGGTTCTATGGTATTTTTTTGCAGTTAGTGTGATCTGCCATTAGATCTAAATTCTTTAAATTAGAAATTCACAGTTTATTACACAATTTGTAATCATTTCAGGTATTCTTAACATTTTAAAAGGCCAAGATAAATTAATTGAACATGTTATTTACACGTTTTCTCTATGGAAGTAAACAGCAGTGATTTCTATTCACTGATACTGTGTTGTGTTTGATTATTTTTCCTGGGGGTAAATGCCACGCACCTTAAGCTCAATACTAACACCTTTATAGCATATATTTTTCTCAATATCCAAAAAACATTTTGTACTGGTGTAGAGAGGGTCCTTAACATTTTGAAAACTTTGCTAAATGAAACTGATATCATTCCAAAGATCTCAAACAAAAGTTTTTACTATTAGAAAAAATAATGCGCTAAAACTAATGATGTTCCGACACTATGACATCATCTTAATTAAACATTATTTCAATATGGCGCGACTTACGTCAGAACAGAGTATTTTTATCGTCAAACAATTTTATGAAACGAAAAGTGTAACAGACGTTAAGCGAAAGTTTGGATCCCATTTTAAGAATTGTAATGAGCAGGAAACATGTCTACAAGATTATATCTAAATTCGAGCGACAAGGATCGGTAGCAGATGCGCCAAAAGTAGGTCGACCGAGGTCAAGTCGGAGCTACGAAAATGTGAGTACACTTCAAGAAATGCTCTCTAACAGTCCAGAGAAATCTGTTAGAGGTTCCTCCTCAGAGACTGGAATCCCTAAAACTTGTGTTCATGACATAATCAGGAAGGATCTCAAACTTTTTCCATACAAAATTCAGATAATGCAGAGTTTGATTATCTCAGATCAGGTTGAAAGATTTGATTTTTGTTGTTGGGCAGCTGACGTTGCTGACAATTACGCAGATGCATTTCAGAATGTTTGGTTTTCGGGAGAATCGCATTTCCTCCTATCTGGACATATATGTAAACAAAACATGAGATTCTAGGGGAAATGAACAGCCTCATTGTTACACTGAAGACCATTGCATAGTGAAAAATTAACTGTTTGGTGTGCCATATCGTCACATGGAGTGATTCGCCCTTACGTGTTTATGGACAGTGTTAATTCACAAAGATACCTGTCACTTTTGAAAAACAAATTTGTTAGTGCGCTTCAAAAATGAACAGCAAATATGCAAAATGTCTGGTTCATGCAAGATGGTGCTACAGCACATACATCTAATATTGTATTAGATTATCTGAATGAAATCTTCGGCAACAAGGTGATTTCCCGGCGATACCCAGAAGTGAAGGACTGTGGACAATCTTGGCCTGCGCACAGTCCTGATTTGAACCCGTGCGATTACTTTCTCTGGGGATACCTCATGTCTTCCGTTTACAAACCAAAACCTTTGGACACAAGTATGCTTTTGTCAAACATCAAACGGGAAGTTGAGAAGATCAGGAAAGAAATGTGTCAAGATGTTAATAATAATTTCAAAGTGCATGATAGGGAAGGGAAGCTGGTGAAAGGACATCACTTAGAGAATGTCATTAATTATTGAAATGACAAGTTGTTAGTATGTACTTGAATTGCTGCTTTAATAACACTCTTTGATATATTAATTAAATTAAGCTATCAGATTAAACTTACCTGTTTGCTTTATATGTGTACGTATTTTGATATAAATTCTTCAACCTTAAACCGGCATTCTAAAAGTTTGAAAGTGTTATCTTTCTTTTCGGACACCCTGTACAGTTCAAATTCAGTATCTCTAACACTGATAACTTGAATATCATGAAAATGTTGGAAGCTATTTGGAAGTCCCATACTCTTATTCTTTAAGTATTTTACCCTCAATACTGTATACAGGGTTATTTTCACCCCATGTTATTTTCGCCCTTTCACATCTGAAAACAAGTTTACCCCGTTTTAAATTCGCCCAAAAAGATTTTTGTTTAAGATATTATACAATTTACTTTGAATTCGCCCTGTTTTAAATTCGCCCACTTTAGGCTTGGGCGAAAGGGGCGAAAATTTCCCTGTATACAGTATTCAGAATCTTTTGATTATACCAATTTTTTAAGTTCCATTGTGTTTGAGATAACAAGATTTCATCTTCAGCCATGCCATAGGCCCTGAATACCTACTTAATGCAGATAAATTACATAATTTAGATAAACAATACTCTTACTATTATTCAAACAATTTTGCTGCAAGGTTTTCTGGAGTAAATTGATTTTTAGAGATTATATCTTTGGTTTTGAACTCAAATTCTCGGGCCTCCAGGGGAGCAAAACATGCAGTTCAGTTAACTCCCGACATCATTGTTGATGAACATTCACAAATGTTAAGAATTAATTTTGTATTAAGTTGTGTAATTTTCTGTTTTATTTAACATAAGAAATAAATTCTGATGTATGATTAGTCTAATTTCCTTGTACTGTAGAAGTACATTTTTCCGCGTGGTATTAATTTACGCTATGTATGCGGTAACAAATTTTCCGCGGAAATTCGTCCAAGCATACTTAATGTAAATGTAATAGATATAGCGACAATTTAAGAGATCGGCATAATTTTCTACCCTCGGATTAAACAGAAATTGAGATTCCGCGGAATTATGACCTTGTGGAAAAAAGTACGTCTACAGTATTTCTTACCTGTGATGAAAAGGTACAAACTAAATGGTCACACAGAGACAGGAAATGAATATCCAGAATGACCCCCCTTAACGATTCATCCGAGTAGCGTCTGTTGAGCCCAGCAGACAAAGTGGCAGCAGGGTCACTGATAAAAGTGTAATCTGGATAACTGTGAAAAAGAGGACAATCCTAAATGACCCCCAGAATAACATGCCATACATGTATGTACCTCTGACAATTTAATAAATGTTTCATACTTTATGTTCCTCGAGTACCACATGTTTAGTTTGAGTAAAATAAGCTGAATGGTTAAATACCAAGTAAGTCTCATTTTTTTAGATGCTAAATATTTTAGATGTTCATAAATAAATTTCAGCTGCAAAAAATCTTAAATTTTAAACTTTTTCTTCCACTTATCTTGATTTTCCAACTGTGACCTTGGGTCAAGTTCATATGACCTCTCAGGTCATAAATAATCTTTGAACCAAGTAACCAATGATTCTCCTTTGCAAAGTTATAGCCTGGACAAGATTGCACAGACAGACAAATGGACATTGTGATTCCTATACATGTATATCCCAAACTTTGTTTGCCAGGGTACAAAAATAAGAATACAAAAATTTCATACTTCTTTTTGGCTTCAGGTAAGGCTGTAGGATCATCAGAGGCCAGGAAAACCCTGCGCTGAACCCCAGGCATGCGATGTTCTAATTTATTAAAGTAATCCTCGACATAAGTCATGTATTCAGCCACTGAGTGGAAAGAGGCCTCCGCAGCGAGCTTGTCTGTACGGCGGATATGTACACTGTAACAACACAAAACAAAAAAATCAGAGGTATTACTACAGGATCAAACCTAAATAGCTCAAACACAGGTAGTATACATGATAAATAGCCCAGAAGTTTATACTGAATGAATTATCAATACTGTTTACTAGACATTTAAGGATTTTCATCCCAAATAAGACCAAATTCTCTACCCTTAAAAGTCCATCAAGTAACCAAAACTCTGATATTAAATTAAAGCATTTTATATTAGAAAAGGATTGCCAATAAGAGATTTTCAAAAAATTCATTAATTAAGCAGTAGTTAATGAACAAAATTGCATTGAAGTCTATCGGGAAAAGCGATTTTTCTCAATAAAAATTCAAATACATGAATATTGTATAAATATAGCCCTTTGATGAGGTCGATCGATAGATATATAAACTTCACAGAAAAGCATAGAAAAGAAGAGCACGAACTGCGTGGCCGGTATGCTTTTCTGTGAAGTCGATATATCTATGGATTGACCGAATTAAAGGGCTACATTTGTTATATTATTTTTACATAGATTAACAAAATACAATTTGAAAATAATGGGAACAAGGCACAAGTTTTCTCTCTTTAACTTTGAGAGACTAGAGATCAAAATAAATTAAGCTGTTTAATGTAATTTTGTAACCTTTATACTGATGAAGTAATTTAGAGGATTTACTAATTCTAAATACTACATTTATTTGTATCAATTCTTGACAAGCATATTCAATATGTTTCAATACAAAGTAGATCCTAATTCATATTGTTATGTCTCATTAATTACAGAACATTAAAAAATATTAATTACAAGATGAAGTATATATTTTTTGAGAAACATCAAGTCATACACTGTACTAGCTATAATTGTGAAATCAGTATTATTTTTGTTTTACAGAAAATTATGATCTCCATTTTAAGAAACATCAAGTCGATATGCATTTCAGATTCTATAAATAGTAACTCAAGTCTTTATGCTGTTATATACTTAATCACTTGATCAAGTTTGAGCCAATCGGAGAGCTTGGAATAAATGATAAAAATAATATCATCAAATACTGTGGTAGAAAGATGCATTGAAACATTCGAAATAGTATGACATTTGAAAACAACTTTTTTACCAGGCAAAATTTTTTTAAATTAATTTTTTTCTGCAAATTAAAAATAAAGGGCGATAACCATACATGCCAACTTTTGAAAATTCCCATGGGGGATTTAGCGTGTGACGACAATTTTCAAAGCTCTAAATTCGCGACATTTTGTAGTGAAATTAAATGATAATGAAATGATCATTTTTTTAAATTTATAATTTTTGATATCACTTATTAATACAACTTAAGGATTAATTTAACAAAAAAAAAATGATTAGAAAAAAAATTTTAAATTTTTTTTTTTTTCCAAAACTTGAAATATTTTTGCTAAAATAAGTGCCTCTCTCATTAAAAACATGTTTTTTTTTCTACCAGGACACATACTTTAGTGAAAATTGAAAATTGTACAACTTTTAAATCATTTTTTTCAAAGGCTAAAAAATATATGAGGTTTTGATACTGTAAAGTCCTGTTTCTGGAAACATTTTTGAGATTTTTTATTTATATTTCAATTAATTAGTAATTCTAATAAGGTATTAAAGTTACTGAAATTTATACCACCTATCCAAAGGAGAATTATTTTTTTACAGTCATGAAATTTGTCAGGCTTGATGGTGCCATGTGGGTATTTCCGTAAGTCATGCACATACCTATAAAATATTACTTTTGGGAGAAGGAAGGGAAAAGAAATTCTAATTGACATACACTTGATTGTTTCATCTTAATTTCATAATATTTTAACTGGCAAACTTTACAATATTTTTCATTATAGGTAGATAAAATCAGCAGCTATGCTTTGTAGTTTTCTACTTTCGTTTTCAAAAAAAACGTTCTCTTTGGATTCCGATTTAGTTTGATTAGTATTTCATTGTCTTTAATTTATGTTTTTAATAAAATAACTAACAATTAACACGTTAATCTATGTGTTTCACCTTGCATACCCCTTAAAACTGACAAGATAATCCCCTAATTGCCCTAAGCTGTAAGCTACTTGTACCTGGACAACTGCGTGCGTTCAAGCGTGAAGTGATTTCCTGTGGCTAATTAACATTGTTAAATAAACAATGAAACTTATCTGAGTGCATTGAATAAACAAGTTTGACATTGTTATCCCGATTGCCAAAATTCAGCGGTAGGGAATCTTTTATAATCGGAAATATTGGTGATTTTTTCAAATCAGGAAATTAGGGCAATTTTTCTTTCCCGATCGGGAAGGCAGGATGAAAGGGTAAAATCGGGAGAATCCCGCCTAAATCGGGAAAGTTGGCATGTATGGATAACTTTTACCAACATTCAAGGTCATAAATTAGGATCGACACATGCCACTACATTTTAATATTTATACAGCCCCTAAACCATGCTACTACACCACTTGAACGGTACGGTTCGGTACGCTTTGTGCACGGAACGGTACGCTTTGTGAACGGAACGGTTCGTTTTGAGAACGGTACGATACGCTTTGTGCACGGAACGGTTCGCTTTGTGCACGGCACGGTACACTTTGTGCACGGAACGGTTCGCTTTGTGCATGGAACGGTACGCTTTGTGGACGGTACGTTTCGTTTCTTGCACGGAACGGTTCGTTTTGAGAACGGTACGCTTTGAGAAATGGTATGCAAATGAAGTGGGCGGAGCCTGTTAGCTTTAATTTTTGATTGGCTGCTAAAATTTTATTCATTTTAAATGACTTTTGAAGTACTTAATGCATGTATATAATTATATTTCAGCTTTTAACAAATTAATTTCTCGGTTTCAATTTTAACATTTTACACTACAGCGGTGATGGAGGAAAAATGAAAAAAAAAAAAAATGAAAGGAAGAAATAACATCATCCCACCGATGTCTTTGGCATTATGTATAGATATGTATTTATATATATAGAATTCGTAAATATTTCCGTATTTAATTTTTACATATGCTGACCCTTCATTTGAAAAAGGAAAAAAAATATTAAATGAAATATTTTTTCACTTTAAAATAAAGTTGTAACATAATCAAAAGGAATTAATATATACCGGGTATATACTTGTTCTATACATATAACGCTATGCACATATATAAATTAGTTTTATTTGATTGATCTATAGAAATAAATGGGTCATTTTCAAAAAAAGTCCATTTTTTGAATGACATATTTTTTGAATATGATATAAAATGAAAGTGGTTTTCCTATGATTTTTTCAACTTTATTTGAATAATACAGTAATAAACTACTAAAATCCACTGCATTGCATAAAAGAAAATATTTCTTTTAAAAAATATTGACATTTTATCTAAGTCATTTAAACTTTAATGTCCTTCCTGTTACTTTCATAAAAAAGAGCTGTAAAACTCTATTTCAAAATTTTCATCAAATAATCTTTTGTATATCGTTAAAAAATGAAAAAAAATATCATTGAATGCCGAGATGTCTGACATTCATCTAATATATGAGCGTTTAAAAGCATGTCAAACTACCATATACCAAACAGAAGCAAAATCTACGGGTTTCTCTTCATGAAAAGCCTTATTGCAGAATGTTTATATGCTATAGTTGAAAAAACATTCTTGTACATTATTTTTGTGATTAGAATAAACAATTACAGAAAGTTATTTAAACATGGGGTGTTGCTAAAACGCGGAACGGAAAACGGAACGGAAAGCGGAACGGAACGGAAAACGGAAAATATAATTTCAGATTAAATCATTTAAAATACACAAATTTTATCAGAAAGGGTAAACTTATGCATATTTATTCCCTCATTAATAAATACAAATTGATTATAGTCATGTTAAGTCTCTTATTCACGAAAACCGCTGACATAGCAGTGACGTAGCATCACTTTCGAAAGGGGGGGGGGGGTGTCGGAGAAGGAACAATTTACTAGTACCTGAAAAGAACTGGACAAGCGAAAAAAGAAAGCAATTGTTCTATTCGGAAGGGAAGGGGGGTGGGGGGAAATTGCAAGTCAAACTTCTTTCGGTACACATTATATTTACACTAACTTTCTACATTAATTTAACCATACATGTTAACCTATTGTGATTAAAAAGAGGGAGATTCAGACCTCAAAAGCGGTAGCATTGCGCGCGTGTTGTTTAACGCTTGGATTATCGATATCTTTCATGTAATATAAATGTATATTATAAGCCTTAAATGAAATCAGGTACCTACACTAATTAATCTTAAATATCAACAGCAAAGAAGAAGACAGAAACACCTTAAGTTTGACATAAATTATACAAATTCAAATAATTTTTAATGCTCATCATTTTGCTTGGATTGGCTGCTTTACTTAGCCTTCTGAAGAGTGATCTTTGCTGAAATAGCCTAGAAGCAATAATTCTGAATGTTCATTCAGTTTTTAAACAAAACAAATGATGGCATGGTTTAATCTAGATCTAAAACAAGTTCGTATCTTTCGTTATATAAATCAGATTTCCCGCGATGATCGAAAACGAAAGTAGAGATGTGCCACATGACTTGGTCAATCGAGTGATTTCTATTGACTTTATTGATAAAGTTGTGAGCTTCTGTGCTTTTAAAGACGATGTCAAATGTTTTCATCTAATTCTTAAAAGCTGTATCTCCTTTTTCATGGCAGGGATGTTGATTAATTTATCGTAACCAATGTAATCACTGGTAGTCTTATGTTGTTGTCGTTGTCAAATCCGTGCTTGAAATCGATGTACAAAAAAAGCGTTTGTATGATTCCAAGTCAAATCACGCGATATCTAGCGAGATTTTATGAGAGTGGCTTCAAAAATGGATACCCAAGCGGACCAAAAATACTTTAGACGCAGCTTTTGTAGAAAAGCGGTAGATTTCTGAATTAAATCGGTAGGCGGGAGATGGAGTGAAAAAGCGGTAGACTCCCGCCTAAATCGGGAGAGTTAACATGTATGATTTAACAGATCTAGAAAGTGTTGGGGGTTTCAA